CCGAAGATGGTGATTGGGGAGGTAGCCGATAGAAGCAAACAGGCGAGTCCCAGGAGGCAGTTCAGAAAAAGAAGATGCGATCACTGGAACAAGAAGTTTATTTGGCCCGACGTTTCGGATTCTCAGTCGAATCCGTCATCGAGTGATAATCCGAAACGCCAAGCCAATTAACTTCCTGTTTCAGTGATCGCATCTTCTGCTTATGCTTTGAGAGGTGCTGACAGCTCTGGGAACGGGGTAGTGGCTAGCGCAATAACGGTCGGCTGCTGAAGGGAGAATGGCATTAAGCTGTGAGCCAGTGTTGACCAGAGATCGTCTGTCAGTCCAGTTCACGTACGTAGAAGGTGCAACCAGGGCTGCAGATAGGGGGAAATGGATCACACCAGCCTTCGGGCTGACCCGTTACACCCGCTTACACCAGAAATTAAAACAAGGTGCAGACCGCTCGAATCTCGCATGCGTCAGAGGATCCGCATGGAGGAAGGAGCTAAAGAGCACACTCCCCGCATATGTGAAAAGTGCCGATGTTGTTGGGTTTTAGAGCAGTTCATGGGTAGTGCACGTGTTGATGGGAGAATGCGTGAAAAGTGGTCGTTTCTGCGGCGATTTACCACAGGTTTTCATGACGGCACTCGGGAACGAGTTGGACCAAGCGATGGCTGAATGTGTGAGCTCAACGTGGACAAATGAGGCGATGACGTCTGGTGTAGGTTTGTACTCCAATCACCAGGGCCTTTTCTGGGAGGGAAGGTGGGATGTCCAGTCCGTCGTTTGTTTTCCCCTGTGGGAGTCGGTTGATAGCGACGTCGTAAACTGCAGACGAACGGTTGAGGGCACTTCAGGAGCGCTCGGCCCGGCGCTTCAGAATGTGTGATTTCTCCGTCAGAACTGTTGTTTCATCGGAGCTGCGAAGCTGATTGTGGGGCCGTAAAAGGCTTGATTGATGCAAAGAAGTTTTTTGTTTTCATTGCGGTTAACATACCCCTGCATTTTCTCTGCCTTGCGAGTTGTCCAGGTGTCTCGTATCACCCGTAGTTGTTGTTGAACGAGTCGGCGATAACAAAAGCAGGTCTTCTTGTTTGTGTAGGTCAGATGATTCATGTAGGCTTTCTGCAGCCTGTACTCTTCTGAAAACAATTTGCCGATGTCATTAGTAGTGAAAATGCGATTCCCAGGTGGCATATCCAAAAAGAGGGGCGTTCGCCGTGAGGTAGACTACCGACACAAAGCCCTCCTTCTCCTCAACGATCGGGAGTCCTATAAAGTCAGCGACGCCGCCGGTCTAAAGTCCCTAGTGGCAAAGGTTAACAGAATTCTGGCTCAACTACAAAAGGACAAGGTCATCACCGTCAAAGACTGGTATATGGCAAAGCCCACAGAAACCGCTATGGCGAGATTCTACGGTCTCCCAAAAGTACACAAGCCAGATGTTCCCCTCCGGCCTATCGTCTCACTCCGAGGCACACCCACATACGGGCTTGCAAGCTAGCTATTTCAGAAGCTAAGATTCCTAACTGCAGGCTCACAAACAACGGTGCACTCAGCAGAACAATTCCTTGACAAAATAAGGGCAGTCACGATCGCACCGAATGAAAGGATGGTGTCTTTTGACGTCGTCTCACTCTTCACGTCTATACCACAGGCCCTTGCGGTCGAAACGCTCAGCGACCTGCTACGACAAAATTAAGACGGGGGCGATGGCCAGCCCACAGCTCAGGATCTCATAGAACTCATGGAGCACTGCCTCAAGACATTCTTTACTTTCGAAGGGACCACATACGAGCAGATCAAGGGCACTCCAATGGGTTCACCAATCTCCGAGCTCATTGCCGAAGCGGTTCTGCAAAAACTCGAGAGGCGACTATTCGAGGAGTATAAACCCAAGTTTTGGACACGCTACGTTTATGGCACCTTTGTAATCATCGACCAGGACAAAATCAACTACTAAGCGAAAGTACTGAACTCAATCATTTCCAATCTACAATTCACGATGGAAGGGGAAGTAGGAGACAAACTTCCATTCTTTAATGTTCTCATCTGCCGCCAACCAAACGGCAAACTAGCGACATCGGTCTACAGAAAACCGACGAACACGCTGCAAATGCTCAGTTACTACGGCAACCACCCGCTACAACACAAACGAAGCTGTGTCCGCACGCTGTACCGACGGGTGGAAACTCATTGCAGCACGCCAGCCGTCAAACAGGACGAGATAAAGCTCCTCCGAGAACTCTGCAGAGCCAATGGCTATCCGCGGACATTCATTGAACGGAGCCGAAGGCAGTCAAAGAAACGAAATGAAGAGCACAGTCAGTCAAACTCGTGGCGGAGCATTCCGTACACTAAAGGGGCCTCCGAAGCCGTGGCTCGATCCCTCGCGCCACTCCGAATAGGTGTTACCCACAGGCCTGACTCAACAATCCGCCAGGCAAGTGATGCGGCCAAAAGATCCGATCCCTAAACAGGAGATGTCGGCAGTTGTCTACCGACGGGCCGACGGCTGCAAACGCGAATGCACGAGCATAAGTTGGCCGTGCGAAGGTTAGACCCAAAGTCGAAGGTAGGTAACAACCCATGCCGCGCAAATGGGACACACCTTAAACTTTGACGCCGTTTAGATTGTGGGCCGGGGCATTGACCATACAGCAAGGCAAGTGCAAGAAGCCTGGACGCGCACCGACTGCCCTGTCAACCGCCACATCAATTTGTCTCCCCCCTGTCTGACTTTACGAACCTTCTTAACGGGGGACGGTCACGGCGCTGGACAATCGGGGCCGTCAGTCATCTCCGCGGCCGACGGGGGCGATTCAGGTCACGGTGACATGCGGCTTGGATGCAGCCACACAGGCGGCATTGGCGGATCACGCATTGAACGAAGGCGCCATTATAAGGGGAGCTGTGCACTGGACTTCCCTGTCTCTGAAGGTGGGTAGACGAATAAACTACTCGAAACGTCGGACCGCAAATAAACCCCTCCCGGTGGACGCCCCCTCTTCTTTTAATTTTCTGATGTTCTCGTCGTTTTCGTCGAAGCAGTCCTGCTTTAGGCGACATGCACGTCCGAAGAGAGTGGGATGAAAAACATTCCGCGATTGACACCACTCTATCTTCACGGTAATTTTGTTGTTCGGCGTCGGCAGTTCTCCCAGGTGCTGAGTCAGTTTATTGTTGAAATGTAAACGGTGGGCAGAAAAACTCAACGAAACAGTAATCAACTTACCTGGGGTTCGCTTACCTTGTGGTCTCCTGTGGGTTTGCAGATGGAGCCTTATCCTGAGGATTACAAGGCGGTGGCCCGTCCGACCATCGGCGTCAGAGATCACCTTGATCACCAGCAAGTCCTGTCGATCTTGCCGCCGGACGAGAATGTAGTTCAGCAATTGTAGCGCCTCGGTCGGGGGGGGGGCATCCAGATCGACATCTCCTCCGTCGGCAGGCAGAAGAAAGCGTTGTTCAGGAGGTGGCGGTGTTCTGCGCAGGTTCTCAGGAGAAGGAGGCCGTCTTCGTTACAGCCGTCTTAACCATGAGAGCTCATCAGTCCCCTCCAGAAAGCACAGTTTGTCTTGACGTGAACGTTGAATTCGCCAATGACAACCACCTTGTCGGCCTTCGCACAGACGCCAGGAGGGCGTGCAGATCTTCGTAGAACTTAGTATTCGCCCGTCTGAGTCGGTCATTGTCGGGACCTAGGCGTTGATGATGGTGGCGAAGTTGGATCCTCGAAGAGACAGGCAGAGGATCATCAGTGGGTGGTGGATACCCTGCGGCAAACAGAACAATCGTTCCAGGATGTCGTTCTGGACAGCAAAGGTGATGCATGCGTCACGTCGCTCTGCCTTTGGATGGTCGTCCCAGAAGAAGACGTAGCCGGCATCCACCCCCCGCAATTGGTCTTCTTCGGAGAAGTGGGTCTCGCCAAGAACAATGATGTCCATCTTGTGACGCGCCAGTCCCAGCCGTTCGCTCTTGGGATTGGCTAAGAGCGAGCGAACATTTCAGGCTGCCAGAGTGAGCAGACTCACTCTACTAGGCTGTGGGTTGGAACAGCGGGATGGGGACAAGAATTTTCGGAATGGTATGACCGACAAAGACAAGGGAGACCGGAATGACCGTTTCTGGCTTATTAGCCGTCGTCAGCCAGTCATACCCAACCCCGAAGTGTGTAAGACCCGAGGCTCGAACTCGCGACCCGTTAGTTAGAGGTCCACGCCTTGAACCGCTGAGCCACGAACCCGTTGTCTTGTCGATTTCGATCGGGAATATACAATGGTAGGCGGCGCTCACCGATCGTTCTTACGGAACTCACTATTTCCGTTGTGCCTTACGGACTCTCTCTCGAGCCCAACCAGCAGCCGCACGGCGGTGCATGATATAGGCAGAATGGTATTACCGACAAAGACAAGAATTGTTGATATTCATTGTAGTGTTTTGATTTTTAGTTTTACACCTGCGAGCTACGGTCTTTCTACGGACGGCGGGATTTGCCAGCATTAGTTTAGGGCACCCTTTCTAGCCATCTCTAGACAGAACAGCCAAGGCATCTCAGACGACTGTCGAACTCCGCAATGGCCATCAATTGATTTAGGAGGAAAGCGACCCGTGTTCGTTTGGGCTGCCTACGGAGTTATATGTCGTCGTCTCCTTAACACTCCAACAACGTGTTATTGCAACTAACACGTGAATTTTCCAATGAATTACTGTAATTAAACATGTCCATACTACGTGCAATAATTGAGTAGCATTTTGTGTCTGCATCATTTTATACTTTGCGTCATTGCCGGTTGTGGTCAATCCCTTTCTAAAGGTTCTTTGTGTATCGGTTTTTTTCGACACTTTTGTAACTAAAAGACGTCCAGATGTGTTCTCCGGTGTTTCCCTTAGTTAGTCTAAAAGTCAACTTATGTCCGGACCTGTGCTTCGTTTATCACAATGTTCATTCTGACAACCACACTTCGACGAGGAGGACGCACTGATGACCCGAAACTCTCCGACTTTTATTATGAAGGCGCAGAACGCCGGAAAAGCATGTGATTCTGTATCTAGCTAGTACCAATATAAGTCATATGGTGAGACTATCTTCTGTCCATTGCTGTTTGATATAAAATTGTTAGGATTAAGTGGTTTTTGCGCAAGTACAGCTTATTCAAACCTAACTTTCGACTAAATGTTGAGTCTGCATCTGACAAGTATGGTTTCGGAAACTCACCGCCTAGTCGCTCAATAAACTTATGGTGAATTATATTGCTCAGTTTGACTAACATTGTTATGCTAGAAACCACGTGAGAAACGCAGGGGAGGCGCTAGCGAGTCCGACTCTCATTTGCGTCAGACACCTGAAGAAAATCAGTTAAACACTTGTTTGGGCTTATGGTGAAAACACTTACTGTGGCCAGCGTATACTACCAAGGGGTTTGCAGCTGTGAACAGTATGTAGTCATGCCGCATCCGGCGGAAATCAGTTCAAATGTTTAATCCACCTAAAGTCCAATATGTTTAATAATTTTAAGCGAAATTACAACGCTGTAGTGATGTATAAAGCGTTTACAATTCTACAGTGATCTGCGCGCTGTATACTAAAGGAAGTTAGTCTCGCGCAATTAACTGAAACAGTTTCGCAATAATCGAAGCACGCGCCATGTATGAAAGGAAACAACCGTTTCACTCCTCAGTCTTATGTGTCTAAGTGCAAGCTCACGCTTCTGCATACATTCCCTGTGAAATGAGAATTTGTTAAGATAAACTAGGTACGTTTCTGTAACGTAACTCTCTTACAGCGTGGCGGGGCTCCCGTAGGGTTATTCAGGTTTTTCTATGCACATATGTCGGTGACTATATGGTCAACCTTCTAGCATGCCGCCAAGAACACTGACGCTGCTAGCTGACTGATCAGTCCGCATCATCGTCTAAACATGCTTCTGACCCATTTTGGTTAGGAACCTAATTCCGTTCATGCTATCAACCGTTCACGAAGATTGTTACCCATTACAGTACTGCGTCCTCCAATACAACGCCATGAGGACTGGGCTGGCATTACAGATTTTGTGAAGAAGGAGACATGATCGCTGGTCCAAGAGCATTATCCGCCTAACGTTTCGGATTCCTGCTCGAACCCATCATCAGGGATAAAAGCAGATACGAGATGCAGATTTAATTGGTTCAGGGCGCACAAGTAACCGGTAGTACTCGCTGACTGGGATTTTCGATAGACATGATTAAGAATCGCGTCTCTGTCTTGCCACTCAATCATCCTCCCAGGTAGTCGCAGGAGGAATGTGATAGCTGGCATTGTCCGTCCTCTGCTCACTCATTCCCATCTGTCGGGCAGTAAGGACTTAGCAGGCTTGATCTCTAAGCAATAGTCGGTCGATTATTTCGGTAATAAGTGCGTCCAGGTCCCAACCCAAAATCTGTCATTTATATCATTACCGAAATCCTTATTCTCTGTAACATCTCCACCTCATAGCTCGGGATAGTTAAGATGCTTTGGAGCATCTGTAAATTCCAGCATGGTCTTCCCTCTCCGGCACCCGACCAGCATAGGAGCTAACTGTGAGTCTTTGTTGGCCCGGAAGAAAAGAGAGTAGTAAGGTTTAAGTATGGTTCGGTGGCATAGTGGATAAAAGGCCGTCCTGCCCCCAAGAGTGCCGGAGCTCCAGCGCCGTCTTTTCAGTTTTTTTTATATTCAGGATGCTTATCAGTCAACATAAAAGCAGAAAGATTATTGGTTATCACTAAGTCCTCAGGCATCTGGACGGCAAAAGAACGTAACTCCTTGTCCCGCCATACTAAAACGAGATAGAAAGGGATAGGAGAAGAATGTACTGAACATCAAGATAGTAGGACGAAGGACCTCTGTAGTTAAGACCTATTCTCGATTTCGTAATCACTACTGAAGTCCCCGTTAACTCGCTCCGGCTGTTCAACAGTTTACCTACCCAGCTAAAGCAAGATTTTCTTCGATTTGGCAATCGGGATATTTGCTATTTACCCAGTAATTATGGCCATCAGACAATGAAGATATAAGAAGGTTTCGTGCAAAACGCAGGGAGCCGCGAGAGCCCATCGAAAATTGTCATCCGAGCATGTTGGTGGGTGTGTCGAAATGAGGATGTGGCACATGAGTTTCCAATGGCAGACTACACAAAGATTCCATAATCACAAGTCGGGGAAGACAGAATATGTTTGAAAAGTTTTACATTTGTGAAAGAGGATACAAGAGGCTCAGCAAGCAGTTACCTCAAGCTGCCTCTTCAGGCGTCTTGGGTTCCAGTGTCCGTGTTGAGGCTCCTAACTCCCAGAGCGTGTGTGCGCCCTGCCCTGCTCTGCCCTGCCCGACTTGTGCCCACCTGTGGCTATGCAGCGAAGGGGCAGTGCTGGTTAGCTTCAAGCTCTCGCGCAGTCCCAGCAGCGAACCGATAGGGACCGTGTGGCGGACAGAAGGGCAGCGTGACAAAGCGGCGGTGAGCAAGGGAGCGGGCTTTCCCAGTCGCTTCATGGTTGGTAAACAAGGTATTCACGGTATGCCATCTACTTGCACTTGTCGAAACAATGTAGCCAGCGGTCGCACTTTTGACCAAAGCCCCTCATTAAATGTTGCTTCTGTCCACACACGGTGCCTCTAACTCATCAACCGACTCCAGAATTCCTGCCCGGTTGCCAAACTCGGGGCTCCCGACACCACACCTGTTGGTTGAATGATTTGATGGATATTACCCTTCTTCCTAACTCGTATTGCATGCTGAGAGAAATAATTTATTTATAGAACTAGCGCTTATTCGGAGTGACTGTTGCAACTTTCCCGACCATCTCATCCATAAAGAAAAGTAAACTACCCGCATTATCACTGCAGAAACTTTGAGTCCTTGACGAGGGTTCGTAAGTTCCGCCTTCTGCCATATCGTCGCTGAACAAAAATCCCTACAGAGAAGAAAGAAGCTGAAGTAACGATAAATAGATTGCAGGACGCTCAAATTTCATGGGGAGTCAGGGTTGAATCTTAGAACGGATGACCATTAAGATAGAGTGCGTAGATTTAAATGTGCTTTTAGACGACGGAGGAAGCCCATATGCACACAGTAATGCTGCAAGTAATGATTGCAACGGAGAGGACAGTTTAGTACCTTGACGTGTGAATTGTACACCAGGTACAAATTCGCGTCCTATTTATGCACAAGCGCATGAGCCAAGGTACCCTTACGTCTGGGTAAAAGGGTCAGGCGAAACCAGTGGTTTCCAAGGTACTCACCATTTTGCGGCCGAATTTGAGCGAAAAACGGCCGTTTGCCTCTAGGAAACGGATGTTTCGAGCTGTCGCTTGGTTATAAGTGACTAAAGCCTAAATGCATGAGCATCGTGTGCTTACGCTATAGCTGTTTTAAATTGATGAACGTTCAAACGCCGCGAAAGATAAAGTCCGCCGTGTGCCCCACGGCGTAGGCGCAACATCGCTGACCTGCGCGTGAATTTTTATACAGTGAAAAAGACATGCTCAGAATACACCTTATTCTCTTCTGTCTCATTTACCAGCCTCCAAGGACAAGGGAATCTCCAGGCGGCCGGAAGTGGGCTCAGACACATTTAAACACATTTCTTGTTATCTTTCTCGCCGTGAAATACTTCCGGCACTTCCTTGAGGGCGGGGTCTTCACTATCTTCGCGAACGACAGGCCTCATTCCTTCACTTTGAAGTCGAACTTTGACAAGCTCGCCCCTCAGAAGATCTGCCAGCGGGACTATATCTTCCAGTTCACCTGAGATATCTGCCACATCGACGGGCCACGTAATGCACTGTTCGCATCCTCAATTGTTCCTCTTCAACTCCCCCCCCCCCGGACTGAACTCGCCGAACTGGCTGCCGAAGAACACCATGGTTGTTCTCGCTGTGACGAGGCTGTTTCCAGACTCCTCCCCATCCCGACCCTTTCGTAACTCGTATTTTTTGTGTCATTCAGGAGTTCTCCGGCGTTGCCATGTGCCTTCTTTGATATACTCGGGGAGTACTGCTGCAGTCTGTCCCTCAATCTGCCTAACGTCTCCTCTAAATCGCGGCATGAGTAAATAGGTAAGCAAAGCCCTTGTCCAGGAGCTGAGGGCGGGAAAAGGCCTGGAAGCAGTAACTAATTTCCGCTCAATCGTTAAATCTGCATCACGTGTGCGCTGAACCAATCAGTACCCTGCCTTGTCTGCTTCATACCGATTGGCTACTATCGGCGAAAAACGCCTTTGCTTTCGCGCAGTGCAGCTATAGCAGATTCAGTCGTTACAGAATTCTTTCCATATCGCGTAGGGAGTTACTGTGTGCTCGTTCTTAAAAGGATACTGATCTTTGCCATGATAGCAACTGCCATTGCAAACTCCACGTTAACAACAACTACTTCCCCGGGAGAGGAGTTGGAAATTCCCCAGCTCGCTCTGGCCTCATGGAAATTCGACGAAGTTTCAGTCTACATATCAATCACATTGTTCATCTTGGCCGTCGTGCTCTTGAAAATCGCTTATCATAAGCTGCCCTGCGTTGCCAGCTACGTACCCGAATCCCTTCTGCTAATAGTAATGGGCCTAATATTCGGTTCTATTATTCACTACATCCCCAATGCCTCAGCCTTTCGTCTCACACCCACTATCTTCTTCAACATCCTCCTTCCGCCGATCGTACTTGAATCAGCATACAGTCTCTATAATAAAACATTTGCTGAGTTGCTCGCACCAATCCTTCTGTTTGCTGTTCTTGGAACCGTCCTAAACTTTCTACTGATCGGATTTGGTCTTTTGGCAGTTGATCTCTCCTCTGGGCTTGGAGAACCCTACCTCGGTCTCAGCATCAAGGAGTACTTGCTCTTTGCTTCACTCATTGTGGCCGTCGATCCCGTCGCCGTCCTAGCCATATTTCAGGATATTGGCGTGGATCTGGGGCTCTATTATCTGGTCTTTGGTGAATCTCTCCTAAATGACGCGGTAACTGTTGTTCTCTACAATATTATGAGTGCTTTTGTGGCCACACCGGAAATAAGCACTGGCCAAATTATCATTGGAATCGGTTCATTCTTCACCGTCAGTCTGGGTGGGGCTGTCATCGGCGTTTTTCATGGTGTCATCTCATGCCTCCTGACACGTCTTAACATCTCCTCGGAGGCCATTGTACCTCTGTTGCTGAGCTACCTATCCTATATTATTGCAGATCTGTTCGGTTGGTCCGGAATCATCTCAATTATTACTTGCGGTGTTTTTCAGGCAGCCTACGCTTTCCACAACTTAACTCCTATGTCCATTATCCTACTGAAGTCTTCGTTAAAACAAATTGCTTCCATTAGTGAAGCTCTGATTTTTCTATTGATCGGATGTGAGGTTTTCGCAGTAAGGCTGAGGTGGCACACCGGTTTCGTCCTCACTGCTGTGGTTATGTGTCTTCTTGCCAGATTTGTTGTTGTTTTCGCTCTGGCCGCTATCATTAATCGCGGTAAGACAGAACATACTAAAATCCAGTGGACTGAGCAGATTATCTGCAGTTACGGAGGTCTTCGCGGTGCAGTGGCCTTCTCCCTCGCCATCCTCCTTCAGTCCCACTTTCTAGGAGAAAGGGGAGAATTTGCTCGCGACGTGCTCATAACCACAACCCTTGTGGTCATCCTCTTTACCGTGGCTGTTATGGGCACTACGATGAAGCCGCTGGTGCGACTCTTGAACATCCGGCTTGCAAAAAAGACTTCGCAGAAACTCTTTGTTACACTGAATGACTCTGTCATTGACCAGACTCTGTTGTACATCGAAAAGCTGACCTCATGCCCAGGATATTACCGACTTCGTGAGACTCTGGTCCGCCTAGACGACAAATACATCCGACCCCTCTTACAGAGGAACGCCACAACGCACAACAAGAAGATTCTTGAAGTCTACGAGAAAATGGCTCTTCAGTTGCATTCAGATGCCATCTCGTCGCGAGCTACCCTCGAGGTGCCGCCAATAGGTGGTGACATGCCGAAACCTCTCCCAGAACCGGAACCAGAACCCTTTGGCGTTACTCTGGTCGATGACGATCCGTTCAGTCATGTGACCATGCGCATCCCCCAGCATGTGCGCAGACGTGTCAAGATCGCTAGCATGCTGAGCAATGATGGCAGCGACATGTACCTACCCCATGGAAGCTTCTACAATCGCGCTAACAATGCCCAGTTTGCCCGGTTAAGCCACAATCAGGCCAGTTTGGCTGAGGCCATGGACCACTCCATCGGAAAAGAACGAAAGAAGAAGATTCGCACTTTTAGTCTGGACGACGATGAGAGTACTACAGTGAGCAATCGGCGGGCCAAGTTTGCACGCCCACCTCCGAACTACACGGAGACAATGCCCGAGGCGGCGGGACGTGCGCTCCTACTGGCAACAAGGCTGCACAACAAACGCCTTCCACAGACTCCAGAGTTTCCTTCTGATACTGAGGTGTAATGCTCGCCTCGCAATCTGAACTATCACGGACCACTTCTATAACATTTTGTACAGTCGAAACTTGTAAGCGATTGTTCTATGTCCTCAGTGAACGTTATTTTGAGAATCTGCCGGTTTTATCAAGTATTTTTCTTCCCAAACCGTGCACACTTTTCTTTCTTGGTCAAAGCCCTTGAGGGTTAGATCCTTGTTACGAGCAAACTATCAGCCCAATTTTAATTACCCTAGTCACTCTTAAAAGTGGAAAACGACTCCGACGTTGAAATTTTTGGAAGTATAGATAGTTGGCATGCATTGAAGGCGGATTGAAATAATTTTTGTGGCTAATGAACGGTGAATTATTTAAGCGACGGTATGCATCGAGAATTACGTAATATTGGTTGAGACTTTTGAGAAACGCCTTCAAATGGAAATGTTTACTTGGGCGAAGTTGAAAAGTCAATCAACGAGGGGTAAAAGGCGAGCAATCCTTATACGGTAGCATGCTAACTTCGGGCTGAGCACCTTGCGAGACACGAGCAAATTGCACGCAACAAAGGCAGATATTTATGTAGTGTATGATTTCGAAATGTCCTCGATGCATATTATGAATTACGGATGGAAGCGAATATGCGAATCCCAGGTTCTTATTGTAACGAGGATGAACATACCATCTCCGGAATAGCAGGTGTATTAGTCTGAGCTTTCGGTCTCGTACAGGAGGCCACCCTCAGAGAGTGTGAGAATGCGACACCAAATGAGCAATTTTTGTAGTCAAGCCATGAAGGGGAGGGGAATATGAGTGCAGAGGGTGGTATTCGCGATAAGCTGAGTCCCACGCCGTCTCACGGCGGCGTGACTGCGTGCACCCTTGGCTGGAAATTGGGTCTCGCCCCTTGGCCACGGGAACGGAGCGCGTGATAGCAGGGCGTATGTCAACGTGTCTGTTGATAGAGTTGGTGTCAGACGCCCAGGCCTCCAACAGTTCTCGCCCTGTCTTATTGCTGGTCCGCGCTACCATCCGCGTGCTCGCGAAGTTGACTTCGTGGCCTTCCCCACGGCGAACTCAGTACCACGGTGTACAGAAAGACGACTAACACGACATGGGTTGCATCAAACGGCGATGAATTGTTGCCTGGGGTCGATGGGCAATGCCTACCCTGGCGGGCTGTAACAGTCGTGAAACCGCCTCGGAGACTCCTTTAATGCAAGGACTTCGGGTTGTTCTTCTTGCGGCCGTCGTCTGTTCACTCGGTGCTTGCTTTGCTTGATAAAGTAGCTTAGGTATCCACTGGCTCGAAAGAGGTCATGAAGATATTGTCGTTTAACTCTTTCGTCGTCTGGTGTGCTGCAGTGTGTTTCAACTCTTTTCAACCCAAAGACATACTGTCACCCACTGAAACCTCTACAGTTGTCTATCAACTACGTTGTAACGATGGATTCTTCAACTACGTTGGGGAAACCGCCTACATGAGCAAAAACTGGCAACTCTGAGACTAGACCCAATCTCACAGCTTGCGACTCACATCGGAGAAACTGGCCACAGTTTTGACTTTCAAGGAGCAGCCGTCTTAGACCAGGACACCTCAAGAACAGAACGTCTCACACTTGAGGCTTGGTACTCAGATGCCAACTCTATCAACCGGCATCTAGACCTCCCTGAGGCCTATAAAGTCCTACGTCGCTATATACGCCAGGACGAGGACAAGACGGTCACACAGAGCTTAAAAATGCCGAGCCGGCACGGCCTGTCGACCAATTCACCCTAAAGGGAGACACAAACGCAAATAATCCCAATTGAGATGACGACACAACACAGGAGGTCGCCAACACTCACAAACGACGATCAGTAGGCCAAGGTAGCGAAAGAACAAACTCGATCAGTCCAAGACCAACTAATTCGGCTGTGTATTCAAAATTATGATGTATTTTCGCACTAGACGCTTCGATAATGGAGAGCCGCCCAAACTCTTCGAAACGTCAGCCAAACAATTTCCTCGATCCGGTGAGCAGTTCCCTTTCTTCAGACTAATTTCGCGCACTTATTTCACAGACAATTAAGTCTACTGTACAGTTACCACGTGAAGAAGGAAATTATTCTGATTTTGCAAGTTTATCTTTAAAGAAATCAGATCCGGCTTTGATCTCCTCATGAGCATCATTGCTAAACTTTAAGTTTGTAACTATGGGACGTTTTTGAAAATCACGTTTGCTCACGTAACCTTCTATCGTCAGGTGCATTGATTTCGCTCACAAAGTCTGCAATGTGATTCATGTACGGTGAACACTAGTTAGTCGACGCAACCCTGCCCTTGCAAATCGATCCCCTCTAGACGAAGGTTTGCTCTTTTAGACATCACAAGCAACTCGCGTTCGGAACCCACTCAACAGGACATGATACGATGGGGTACATAGGTGACAGAACAGTTTTAGAGTCAAGCCTGTTATTCATCCAATATTAATGAATGAAACTGAGGTATATGGTACTAGAAGCCAATATAATTAACGTGAGCGCATTTCCAGTAATCTCTCGTTGTACAAATATAAGTAGAGCGAACTGCGACTAGTCGGACCACTAGTAAATTAAGTCAGACAGCAAATTCACTAACAGACACAAATCGTGCATATCGCTACAAAGTTACGTTGTTTATTAAAGCCACCACTCTGCTTAATTAGGTTGTCAGTTGCCCAAAGTCAAAATTCCCAAAGTAAAGACTTCGAGGATAAGCTGCGTTTTGGACAGACACTGTCTGCTGGTCGGGAGCCCGGTCAAGAGGTTTGCACAGGCCGGATAGTCAGTGTGGCAGCGCGAGGGGCCGATCGATCACGCCATCAAGATGCCCATGATGAGACTGACAAATCCTCTGGTAGGACAGCCTGACAGTTGGGGGGACCAACTCTGAGAGAGGGAGAGAGAGAGAGAGAAAATAGGCATCGTTAAAATTTTTTAGAAAAAATGACTTCGTTTATTTTGACCAAGATCTAAATTTACAAACGATGTAGGAGCAAGTAGGTTTGCACAGAATCGGATGCCCATTACAGAGACGGTTCAAGTCGTTTATCAGATCGCATGTCGGGACTGCCCTCGCCACTACACAAGAACAAACCGGACGACGACTTAGCTCACGAATAAAGGTGCATAAACGGGCGGTCCGGAGAGGCGACCCGTTGTCTCAGACCGCCACTCACCCTGGAGGAAGGCCACGCATTCAACTTGGCGAGCACGCGGATAGTAGCGCGGGCCAGCAATAAGACGGGGCGAGAACTGTTGGAGGCCTGGGGGCCTGACACCAACTCTATCAACTTGTACGTTGACATACCCCCTGCTATCACGCGCGTCGTTCCCGCGGCCAAGAGGCGAGACCCAATTTCCAGCCGTGGGTGCACGCAGTCACGCCGCCGTGAGACAGCGTGGGACTCAGCTTATCGCGAATACCACCCTCCGCACTCATATCCCCCCCCCCGTCATGTCTTGACTACAAAAACTGCTCATTTGATGCCGCATTCTCACAGTCTCTGAGGCCGGCCTCCTGTAGGAGACCGAAAGCTCAGACTAATACACCTACTAGTCCAGGGATCGTTTGTTCATCTTCTTTACATCAAGTCTTAGTTTCTGCACTTTACTTTTGCATAAAGTGTATCGTGGCAGAAATGGCAATACAGAGTGCTTATATGCCAGTGTACGACAAGAGATATGTCGGAAGGCACGACGTATGGGGCGGGAGCACTCCGCAACAATTAGTTTAGAAGGGAGAGGATGGACAAAATCATGCAGAATTCACTCAGAAAACTGTTCAATGGTTGTGAAATGTCGTCGACTAAAGGAGGGAGAATCCACGTACCCATAAATCTCCACATTAGGGGGTTAGAGTGTTTGATAGGAACGTGAACGGCGAATGAAATAAACGAGCCTACGATTCAATATGAAAAGAAAATGAGAGATTTGAGGAAAAAGTAACACCAGGGCACCGGAAAGAGGGAACGTCCAAAGATTCAGGAACGGGAGAAGCTCGTGGTCGAAGCGCACGGTAAACTGGCTTCTAGTTGTTGAGTAGGAGACCACTTTCGGTCTACCATGTAGAAGTGTGATCCAAACCATCCTTCAGAAAGTGTAAATGAGTCGGATTTTTGAGAACGTGACCAACAACCATATCGTCGGGATACTTGACAAACAGACAGTCATTTGGCGATCTTAGGTCATCATTGTGAAGGGAGAAGAGGTGGAGGGATAGAATGCGACCGTGAAGGACGGAAAATTCCCGCCTGCCAGAATGGACAAATTGAGTGCGAAAAGTAAAATAATCTTTAAGCCAAGAAACAAGCCAGTCAGAAACTGGACTGTATAGCGGCGAGCGCTTCAGAGCGGGGGACAACAACAGCAGCTTTGGGGGAGAGCAACTAGTCGGAGACCGACGGCTGATTTAAGCTAACTTCCACTTGTCTGAGCGAGTATTCGCGTCATCCACTTGAATATAATTAAGATACCAAGGAAAAATATGACTTTAGTCGCAACATTTTCCAGTTGGCCGGTCTAAGAGACTAGTAGTCATAAGTTTGTCCTCTCCGTTGACGGAGATCGCGGGCGTGCCAAACTCTACTATCCTATGTGTGAAATGACAGTAGACAAACCGTGACGGGATAAAGCATTGTCCGAATGATGACAGAAAACATCGGAGGAAGGAAACGAGTGAATGGATACAGGCATTAAGGAAGCCCTTATTTACTGGCGGTTCCTCGGTATAACTGGGTATGCAGTCCGTTCCAGCAGACGAATGCTAGGAAATAGGTCAGAGTAGCTAGAAGTTTGGGCCGCACGAACTTCCAAAAAACAAGGTATGTGAGCGAAATTGGCGGAGAATTGTAGCCAGTCATTCACAGATACAAACACACCGGAGAGGCTGTTGTGGGAATGGTGGCGCACCTGAAAAACAGCAAGCATCCGGCTGGAATGCCAGGAAGTTTATTGTGAATTGGTTTATGAAGGAAGGCAAGAGAAGAGGTCTGTTATATGAACTGGAGGT